GTGCGATTGTGCATTTTATGTATGTTGTTGATAAGAACATAGTGGAAAGTATCATGCAAGTATGGTGAGTAGGTGGGATGGTAAGATGCACTATTTCGTTTTGAGAAACAGGTCCATGCATGGATTGCGGATACGTAAATACCCTTAAATGTGTAATGTGTTTTAGGTGTAGGAAGTGAATGTGTGGCAATGGTGGGTTCGTATGCTGTGGGTGTGCCAATAATGTGATGGAAATCATGGACTGTTGACAAAATATGCGGTTATTGAAGTTGTACCCCTTCAAGATAATAATTTACGTATGACATGTTAAATAGTTTTACATGTTAACAACATACACACAATAAGTTTCATAAAAAAACACATAATTTTGGGACAAAAATATTGTCATAATATTAAATAACTTTCATGGTAATGGGGTATATATTGTTCACCTGGTACTTATAATCTGGAAGCTGTAATTTGTTTGTAGTAAACGTGTCTGTCATACAAGACTAGGACATGGGTGTGGCATACCCAATTATTTGAAGCGACAGCAATTACAATAAAACAAGGTTTGAAAATTGGAAATGTAGGATTGTGCGTGTGAAGCTAAATTGGTTCATTGCATGTTGTGCGGTTGTGGTTACCCATTCGTTGACACCGGCCGCATCGAATTTGTTGCACTTCTTCACCTTTGGAAAGAATTCTTTTTTTTTTGGGTCGGCGTGGTGGTCATTTGACCGATGATGGTTGTATGACAAAATCGTCAGGACTGAATGGTGGTTTCTCAACAGTTGGAATGGGTTTTATGTTTTGTTGGTATGAGTTGCGGTAAGTAGCGACATGGTAAAAATTCAACAACTAACTCGTATAGGTCGAGTCCGCTATTTTGAATAGCAACAACTGCGTGAGAGCATGGAAATCCATTGATTTGCCACTTGAAATAGGAACATGTACGTTTGTCAACGTCAACCATGACGGATGGGAAAGAGTGGACCTTGAAAGACTGTGTCGCTAGATTGGCTTACAAGCCATGATCTGCCTTTATTGTACGCTTTGACCAACCGAGCTTCCATTTTTGGGCAAATAACACCAGGCCACGCTTGTGCTTTTATTCGGCGTTTCGCCATCTGACGCATAATCTTCAATCGAATGCTATCAACCAGTTGAGTTATTGGTAGGTGGTGTGCTTTCCGTATCCACGAGTTGAACAATTCAATGGCGTTAGAACTCATCTCACCGTGCCGTGAACCACTGGTGTTGCAAAAATACAATATGTGTGAGAGCGTAGACAAATGACAAAAAAATATGACACACAAGCAATTGTGACGTGGAATTTAAGTAAAAATAAAAAGTAAAGACTGAAATACATACCGGAAGTAAGCATTAGCCCAATATTGAAGGGATAAGTCTTTTAAGAATGCGGGAACAACCTTCCGTCCACATTTGGTAAATTCTTCAACACATTAGGTAAATGAAGCCACAGTGGATACGTAAGCACAAGCACGGAATTTAGTCAACATTCCAGCTCTATATGAAGTGTTAACATATCCCAACTTATGTTCCAAGTTACGTTGCAAATGTTGTAGGCAAAATACATGATGGGCTGTGGGGAATATGATGGGTATTGATTCCGATAAGCCCGTATGTCGGTCAGATACGAACGTAAGGTTCCTGTGACTGTTGACAACATTTGCGAGATGTCCTAAGAACCAGGCCCAGTTTGTGGTGTTTTCCGAATCAACAATTGCAATGGCTAAAAGGAAGAGACCTAGAAAGGGTTGTTGTGAGTTAGTTTTGTAGATTTATTGGTGGTGTTTTGTTGAGATCAGATAACATGTGTGTGAGGCAATGTACACTGAAACATTGTGCTGGTAACAAATAATGAAATTATTATTGTGCAACGAAAATGATTTGTGTCAACATTATAACAGTACCTTGATTGTCATCATTCGCAGTAGCGGCTAACATGTGCCCCTTGAATTTTCCCTTCAGAAAAGTTTCATCCAAGAATAGCAATGGCCGACAATGATTGAACCCATCGATACATGCTTTGAATGATATGAAATACCTTATGAAATGGTTGTTGTGTTCATCGTACTCAATATTGACGTAACTTCCAGGGTTGTTTTCAATGACAACAGAATTGTACCACTGTAATTGGTCGAACAATATAGAGTGTGCACCAAACATCTCCCCCCGAGCTTTTTCAACACCTAACCATGCAACCCAGTAGCTAACCTCTAATCCGTAATCTTTTTTTAGGTCGTAGAAAACATCGGTGGGCTGCGTGAGTGGCTTGTCACGTACTCGATCAGAAATAACATCAGACACTAAATCTAAATCAGCTCTAGGGTTTTTCGGGGTTCGAACAGCTACGCCACAAATGTGCTCCTTATTTTACTTGCGAAGGTAGAAAAATCCGTTAGCATGCAAAACACGTGCATGCACCGACCACATGCATCCCTTCAATTCCCTTATCATGCATACAACTGTGATCTGCACAGAATCGTTTTTGACATATTTAAAACGGTAGCCACATTTGACAGGATACTTGCGAAGAACACTTCGGAATTCATCTGCTCCACCTTCAAAACTCTGGCCAATACGTTGAATCCCGTTAGCCCATTGGGCAGACAAAAACACCTTGTCAACATGAGGGCAGAATTTTGCCAATAAATCATCTTCATCATCCAGGTCTGACTCGTCAAACACATTAGTCGGGTGACAATGAGCTGCCTGCAATTGGCTGTTAGCATTGTCACTGTCTGGTGCATATCGTACTTCAATTAATACATCAATGCATTGCAATTGAAAAGATCGTGCAAGACACACCATGTTCACCACATCAACATCGTTCTGTAATATGAAATTATTATAACCAGGCATCTTGAAGTAGAAACATACATCGGCAGGTGTGAGCCCATCAAACTTTTCACACACACCACTGACCACATCGTCAAATCGAAACGGAACTTGCAGATTAATAGCGACATTCACATTGTCGTAACAACATATTAGCATAATTTCATTGTCCATCCTCCTGAAAATGTTAACATATGATTCATGACGGGGAAAAAAAAAAAAAAAAAAATTAAAAAACACTACGAACGGGGCACCACACATAATCAAAATGATGTCTACCCACCTATAGCGAAACACATGTCCTCCTGTTCCCGACACAGAGCACATCCCATCGAGAACACGTGGCACTTCAGAACTTGGGTTAACACCCAAAAGAATTGAAAAACAATAACACCACTGGCACACCACACACCATTAAAATCGACGCTCTAAACGCATGTCCCTCTATTCCCCACACAAAACAACGTGACACCCACACCCAATACATCTGCCGCACTGGAAAACCATGATCGGCCACCACACACAAACCAACCATATAGGTGAAAAACATGAAAAAAACACAGAGCAAAATGTAAATGACTACGATCCATATCAAAGGTAAACGAACCAAGGAAAAGTAAGCATACCAGGTAAAGAATATTGTGTCCACGGCAGGTATACGAACAACTGACAGAGTGTCACACAGCCATCGGCAAGAAGACACACATTCAAATTCCCAAAACCCTACCTGCCAATGGCTGAAATGTATTTGAATGTATGATCAAAATTAGCCAAACCCGAATCAACAACGTTTCCAAAAAAGACCTGACCCCGCAAAACACTACCAAATTAACCCAAGGGCATAAACATCCACACAGTGATACCAAAAATGGAAAATAAAAACAAAAAGGATCAAATCTACACACCAGCAGGACTAACGAGTACAATAGAATAAAAGTGGGACTATTTGGTATAACAATTTGTGAAGTAGGATTTATTGGTAAATAATCCTTTAAAAAGTTATATTTTTCTCTTAAAAATTTGTAATCTCATTATAAATTATTTCTTTACATACCTTAAAAAATTTTAAATGACTATTTTGTCTTTTTTTTTTTCCTACCATTTCTTTTTTCTATCATCATGACTACATTTTATAACTTTTCATTATTAAATTCTACCTGAACATATTCTTGATGATATATAAATATAAATTTTATATAAAATTTTCAAACATAATGATATAACTTAATGGTGACCTTTCACTTTAAAACAAAAAAAAAAAACCCCCATAAACATTATTTATATTTACAATATTACTATCACAACATTTTTATGGTATTTTTTGTATAAATTTTTTTATATAAATAATATTTTTCATTTTTATTTCCACAATCATTTTTCTTTCTCGTCTATTCACCCACATTTATTAAAGTATTAAATACCGTCATCCACATTTATTACAATATTACTAAATTTTTGTATTTGGTAAATTTAAAAACAAAATATCACAAAATATTATATTTCTTAAATATATCTAGACATATACAAAATATTAATATTATTTTATTATTTTGTATGTATAAAAATTAAAGGGCAAATATGTCATTTTAATCTAATGGAGGGATAAGTATAATTTTTTAAATGTGAATGAGGAATCTATATCAGTGTAATTTACCCTAAAATTTACTTTTTTATTTTTATTTTTTTAGTAAATTATACCTAGTCCTTAAACTTTGCACCTTTTGTATATTCAAGTACCCAAACTAAATTTTCATTCAAGTAAACCCTCTAGCTTTTCTAATGAATTTATGATCGACTTTACCAATTTACCATTTAGTTAATATCCCACATAATGTATTTAATGGTTAAAAATAAACGAAACATAACAAAAACCAATTTAGAAAGTTAGAGCTTACTTTAATCAAGAAAAATAAAAGTTTAGGGTTTTTTAAGATTTTTTTTTTTTTACAAAAAATATAATTTTGGCATTCTATTTGAAACAAAAATTTGTCCAATTCAGAGTAAGAAAAATAAGTGTTCCATCATGGAAACTAGGAAATGAATGTTTTTAACTTCTGTTTTCGCCAAATAGGGACATAGAAGTAGGTGAGAAATCGTCAATCTCTTGTGAAAAATCCTAGTAAATCATTCAAGGTAGAATAATTGTCTTTTAAATGTCCACCCTTAGCTTGGTGCAAAAGGCTTTCTCAAAATGATGTTCACAATATTGCACAGATTGATATACATTGTTAGACCTATTTCTTAATAGTTCAAGGTTTTGAGACAACTGGTAATCTAACACACACGTCCAATGTTCAGTAATCTTTATTCTGGAATGCATAATGTATTTTTTATGTAGCAACAATGGTTGCCAATTGAGAAGATCATAAAGAATAATATAAAGACATGTGGTGAATTGTCAACCACTCGGCTGGTAGAAAGATTCATAGGTTTCCACTCTTGCTTTTGATTCAGGTTGCTCAAGTTCTTCCATAAACCTCATAGTCATCTTGATGAAATCTTTCATTTGTGCTTGTCTCCATTCCTTGTAACAGTGAAGCAGAAAATCAAAAAAACAAAAGAAAATGAGAAATAAAAAGATACGAAAAAGAAACAAAGATAGGGGGGGGTTGCAAAAAAATATAAAGCCTCCCTCCAATGGAAACTAAACTGGCATTTTTTTTTTTAAATGAAAACATGGAAAGCAAATGGTTAGATGTGCAATTAGTTTCATGAATATTCAAACTACCTTTGCAAAAAACGAAGTGAAATGCACAAAGGAAGGAAACGGAAAAGAGAAATGAAGTTGAAGGGGGATTAAAAAAAAGAAAAGAAATTTTACCTCAAAAATCCAATCACCATATAAGTTTGGATCACCACTGTTTGCCCAAACATATGCATGAGCCTGTAACTTCTGAGAGCCATCCTGCAGAAAACCCCCATGCTATTCTCCTTTTAGTACCGTCAAAAAACTATAAACCAACTAAGCAATAACTACAGAGACAGATCAAATTTTAACAATACCAAATTGGAATCCTTTTTAAAATTGGTCATATAATCAAAATTTGTTAAATATTCCAGTTTAGTTACAGTATTACCATCTCAAAACTCATTGTTACGTCCCCTTCTCCATGTTAAGTAAGCTAGCCATCAAAGAATTTCAGTAATAAAAAAAAGTTGACCAGTTTTTCTCAGCGATCAGGAAACTGTATGCTTTCAACGTGAATCTCCATTTCATACATCCCAGTTTGAAAGTGGTAATATAAGTGCACCAATTATCCATACAAAAAAATTTAAGATGATTTCAGCCATACATACCATCAAAGAAACCTCAACAGTGCACCTCTTATACTCAACATCCTCAAAGATGTCAAATATATGTAATTCAAGAGGTGTGATACCAGATAATACCTGTGGAAAAAGTTTGTTATAACACACAGAAATGAAATACAATTTTTGTTTATTATGAAATGATGTCAAATGAAACCTATCAAGCTTGCATTGCATGAATAAAGCTAACCATCCTGTTTTTATGTGGCAAATGACATAATCAGGTGAACTTGATTTAGTGTCACAAGAAAAACAAACTGCTAATTTAGACATCAAAACTTTAGTATGTTAAAAAAGTTAAATGAACAATAGAAACAATGGAACTCGTAATATTTCTATGAACATTATTGAAGGAAGGAACATAGTTCAATTTATAATGTGAGCACTTGCGAGAAAGATATGTATCTTTAATTGCATTACTTAACAGCCAAAGCCTCCCAATACTCTCTAGTCTGACAAAACATCTTGAAAACTGGTCTGGCACCCAATGAAAAGTAACTTCGCATCTCCACCAAGACAGACAGAAGCACAAGTGATTTCATTGAAGTAACTGAAAACTACAAGCACTTGTGGCAGAGTGGAAACAAAAAAGAGATGAAATTCAACATATTTGTTCTTTGCATAAAATAAAAAAATAAAAAAAATAGTTGGATGAACAAACCCTCCCAATAACTTTCTTTTTCTCCACAGGTAGAATAGCAGGATAAACGCGTCCTTTGATGCTAAATCTATGGCTACAAGAAACAGAAGCCATTCAAATGTGCATCAGAGACAAAAAAATGGCTATGAAAGCTTTGACTTGAAATGGTATAACAACAATTTTAATAAATAAAATCTAGAATATACATCTATTTAGTTTAATTTGATACTTCGAGCATATTTTATTTTCCCAATTGAGTATTCATAGGGAACAAACAATTCTATAAATGATATCAAGGTGTAATTGCACTTTGGCGTTATGATGTTCTAATCATAATCAATAGTTCAAGGAAAATTGGTTTCACAATAATTAACATCAAGAATGCAAGCCAATCACACCAAGAAATGACATTGAATATAACTATTGATTGACTAGTATATAAATAAAAACTTTTGAAAAATAAGGATTGCAATTTAATAAAAAAATAAAAAATAAAAAACAGGAAATAGAAAGGGAGGAAAAGAGAGGGTGAAGGAAAAATCCTTAAAAAGGTAGACTTGTGATGAGTAACATGGTTATTTTTCGTGTATAGTGAGTTCTACTTGTGCATATGACAATAATTAGTAAATTTTTTATTATAATTTTTTTTGAGTTAGGGAGACTGAGTCGGCAAGGCGAACGGGGCATTGGCGAGTCATCCCGGAGGTTTTGAGTAAGATGAGACTGTGGGGCGTGGGAAGAGAGAGAGTGTTGGGAAGAGTGGACGCAGTGGTGGTGATCGCCATGGTCGCTCGTTGAGTCAAGCTTCCGCTTCTGATTCCAATTCCGACTCCGACTCTAACTCCAACTCAGAAGCCAAAGCAAGTTACAGGTTTCAAATCTTTCCATTGTTATTGATTTATCCTTGATAACTATTACGTTGTGACCTCTCCATTTTCCCCCCCAATCTGTTTGCTGAAAATGGGTAAGAAATTAAGAAATTGGGCCCTAATAGTTCAAATCAAACAAATGATAAAAACCAGAATAATATAAACTATACGCAAAGGCAATTAGAACTTGAGTTTGAACATGATGATTTTGACATTGAAGAGACTTATTATGATTCCCCTTAAGCTTACAATGCCATGGTGGGTTCTAGCGTTTGCCATGGCTCTTCTGAACAAGGCCTAGGCAAAATAACCATCCCTGAACCAATGGGGGCTATTGAGATAGCAACAAAGGGAAGTATCCCAACCACAAATATGCAGGACTACAATGAGGTAAAATGACATGCTCAAGTTCGAATGTCATGTGTAGAGGGTTTGGTGGATGTGGCCTTTACGGACTCTCAGACTAAGCAGAAATAGTCCAAAGCCATAGTTCCAATGGTTTGGATAAGTCTTCTTCCCATAGTGTTATCTCTATGCCATAGAGTGTTTTATTAAATCTAAGATTGCTAAGAAGAAAGTAGTCAAAAGCCTCAAGAGATACTCGGTGGGTTATGAGAACGATCGACTTCAAATCCCATTGGAAATCTCTAAAATTGGGTTTAAGCAATGGGAACATGCTTTTGTGGATTATTTTATTGATAGAAAATTGTCTTTCTTCCAAGTGAAGACTTGGGCCTACAAGTTGTGGAAGGAAAATCTTGAAGATGTTGTAACCTTAGATAATGACTACTTTGTATTCAAGATTAAAGATGAAGAAGCTTCAAAGTCCATTCTTGATGAGGGGCCTTATTATATTGGGAGCAAATTGATTGTTATCATGAAATGGCACCCTGGTATGACCCTTACTAAAAATGTCTTCTGAAGTGTGCTAATATGGATAAAATTTTTCAATGTGCTGCTTGAACTTTAGACTGAGGAGGGATTGAGTTACATAACAAGTTTTATCGGTAATCTGCTGTACCTTGATGAATTTACTCAAAATCATTGCCGGTTAACATTTGCTAGAATTTGTATTGAGATAAAAGCTACTGAGGAGATTCCACCCTCCTTTGTTGTAAACTTAGGATATGGAGGACCGTTCGAAATCAAAGTGGAAGTTCCTTGGAATCCCCAAGTGTGTGGAGAATGCAAAATATTTGGTCATACTACAAGTTTGTGTCCAAGTAAATCGAATACCCAAGCTCCTAGTAAACTCAAACAAGAGTGGAAGGCCAAAGAAGTAGCAGAAATGAAGGAGGGAGGCAAGCCAAATGAATGGGTTGAAGTGAAAAAGAAAAAAGGCAAGGACGTCATTAATGCTCCTATGCATTTGTTCCTACACCTCCTCTATCTTCATCGAATGCGTTTGATATTCTCAATACTTGTGTAGCCAATAAGGAGGCTTCTTTTTGTGCGGATCTTAAGAGTGTGCTTAATGCGAATGAAGATATTCCGAATGTAGAAGCTTCAAAGGAAGAGAAAGAAATTGTCGGGGACGTGGGTAATATAAATGGGTTAGCCCGTAGACGATCTTCACATCCCAAAGGAGCTCCTCAATCCCTTTCAGATGGAACATTCGTTGTTCCATGGACAAACCCATCTTCAAAAGTAGAAAACAAAAAAAAGCTTCTTGAGAGAATCGTCCATCTTAAACTTTCTCAAGAGGTTAGCCTCTCTATCAAGTCTAAGAAATCAAGTTGTAAGACTCCTATAAAATCATAAGCGTGTCTGTTTATTATGCTTGGCCTTCTTGTATGTTAATCTACTTGTTAGATTGTTGTGTAGAAGCTAGGCTTGCTTCTTTCCCTCCTCGAAGGGTGTTTGCCTCTGGGCGTGTAATAAGCCTCACTATAATATCTATATTTTTGGTATATACCTTATGACTTATCTATCCAAAAACAATAAAATAAATATGACAATAATTGTGTGAGTAAATATAAATATAAATATAAATAAGGGCAAATTACATATACACCCCTCCAGGTTTGGTTAAATTACAGATACCCCCTGAGGTTTCGGAAATTACATCCCGCCCCCTGAGGTTTGTATTTTCATAACAATTTACCCCCTGAGGTTTATATTTCATAACAAATTACCCCCTAATTTCTTATGCAAATATAGCATTCAGGGGGGTGAGTAAATATAAATATAAATATAAATAAACCATGCAATGCAACCACCAACACCCATGCAATCATATAGTGAATCAAAATGCCAAAGAATTTTAACTTGAAAATGTTATCCAATTTTCCCCTCTAAAATTATATATATGCCCTCTTAATTTTTTTTTTCATTCTTCTTCCAAAAAACTCGAAACACAACATGGACATAGATTGACTCCTTATCTAGTTTAAAATAAATCTAAGAACGTATTTCCTTTCATTACATGTTTTCATTTTTCATTTTTATTTTCATTTCTTATTGCTCAAGTTCTATAGATTTGAATGTCAAGTAGTTTTATTGTAGTATTAATAATTGATTATTTTACCAAACTAAGCCTTGTTATGACCCAAACCAATCTAATACTTTAAAATCCTGGTATACAAATCAGAATTTGACACAAAAATAAAAATTTAGGAAATTCATGAGATTAAACAATGATTAAATTAGGTACTCTTCAACAAGCACATGACAGTGATTGCAGAACAAACAGAGTTCATCAATTACGAGAGAAAACAAGAAATTATAGACATACATACCAGATCTCATCATCGATCACTAAAATTAAGAAACTGATCAAAATTATGGAAGAACAATTACAAGATGAAGAAATCGCGCAGAGAAAGTGATTGAGAGAGAGAGAGAGAGAGAGAGAGAGAGAGAGTGACAAGCCATTGAGCGTAGCGGGAGAGGACTGAGGGACGCGTTTCAGAAGAACTCGAACAACCTCGTCGGCCAACAAGCTTCCGTACACGAAGACTTGGTGAAGCCCTTCGATATTAGAGCTCGTCGCCATTGAAGTCGATCCCATTCTCTCTCCTCTTCTCTCGCTCTCTCTCTCTCTCTCTCTCTGTGTGTTGGTGAAGTGAGTGTGTGTGTGTCTTGCGCTCCGCTTTTGAATGTTGAGATTTACTGGCAAGTCACATCAGAAAAATTGATGTGACTTGCCAGTAAATCTCAACCATACACTGTAACACTTTAGGAAACTTTAAGAAAAAATCACTCTAGAGGATCGTTACTCATGTTTGGTTGTCAAATGAAATGAACTCATAAATTCGTACGTAAATTACAAATAGATGCTTAAAATTTGCTTAAAATACAATGTTCTTTTATAGTTTTAAAAATTACAAAATAAAAATTTATCAAAATTTTATATTTAATATAGAATAAATAAAATTTCTAACTACTTGTCTATTCTACAATAAAATTATATGAATTATTAATTGAAATATATTTTTGAAATCATTAAAAATTGTTAATTAACTAATGATTTATTAATAAAAAAGAAAACACCGTAAGCACCTTATAATTTAAAAAAATGATATAATTTTAATTTTCTGAGTCATAATTAAAATATATATATCATAACTAAACACAACATGAGGTATAACTAAAGAATTCATGAATTATAACTATAATAAAGTTATAACTAAAGAAGAATATGACATAATTAGGAGTACATAAGGTGCACCCTTTTTTAAATGGGTGTATATTAGAATTTTCCTAATAAAAAATATCATTTATTATACTACTAGATTCTTGAAAATGAGAGATGTAATTTTAAAATCATAAAAGAAAATTCATATTTTAAATAAATCATAGGATTATATTTGTAATTTATTCTAAATTCCTCCTCTAATTGTAATTTTTTTTAGTAAATTATACCAAGTCCTTAAACTTTGCACCTTTTGTATATTGAGTCCCCAAACTAAATTTTCATTCAAATAAACCCTCTCTTCTCAAACTGATTCAATTTAACTATCCTGTCGTCTTTCATTCAATTTTTTGCTATCATACTGGTGAAGAAAAGGGTATTGATTATATATTTATTTTTTTACTTGAAAAATGCATTTATGATTGACTTCAACAATTTACATTGAGTTATATCTCACGTAATGTAATTAATGGCAAAACATAAACATAACATAACAAAAACCAATTTATAGCTTAATTAGTTTAGAGGGTTAATCAAGAAAAATAAAAAGTTCAAGGATTTTTTTAGATAATTTGCTATTTTTTTCACAAAAACGTAATTTTGGTCATCTATTTTGAAACAAAAATTTGTCCAATTCAGAGTTTTTTTTTAAAAAAAAAAGTGTTCCATTAATTCAGTTCAGATGACAAAACAGAAAAAGAAAAAAACTAAATAAGTTAATTATGTAGAAGCTAGGAAATGAATATTTTTAACTTCACTTTTCTAATTATTAATTTTAATATCAAAAAATAACCACCAAACAGGACCTTGGAAGTAGGTAGGAAATGGAATTGTTAAAAAACAATCTGAGTTCATAGAGAAAAAAAGAAATTGTAAAACAAGCAGAGAATTCAAGGGGATATTAAAACCCGTTGTCCTTCACCCAGTACACAGTAAATGACCCGACACTGCTTAAAACTACAGTTCTATCAATCTGTAAGACATCCAGTTTGATAATCAACATTCACTGCCCAAAAACACTGATACAGTAATCAGCGATCAGAACAGCATTTCATTATGTGGCCATTGGTTCAGGACCAGAAGAGTTGAGTACGTCGAGCAATGAATTCTGAGGCTCCAACTCCTCGTGCCACAGCGGCAATGCATCACCTTGGTAGAAGTTTCTTTTCACTCCCTCAGAGTTTATCTGGACAGGGAAAAAAAAAGAAACACATTCACAAGAAATAGGCTCAGCCAGCGAAACAGAAAGCACACGGTTGCACAAGCAAAGACATAAACTAGATTAGGAAGTCTTACGATAACAGTGCGAACAACACCCCCACTGGCACCATCCCGAGCAATGGCAAGAGAAACAGCCTTCACCACCAATTGCTGTAAGACAACACATTAAAAGAAGTTAGATATCTTTTAACTCATCTCAACAAGCAGCTGAATATTCATAATCACAAAGGAATGCTGTTTATTTGAGTTCCTTGTTCCCCAAAAACCATAACAAGTTGCTTCTATATGGCTACAAAGGAAAACAAGTGAAGAATATCAATGCCATATGGGCAGAAATATTTGATCAAACAGTGAGAAATTCAAAATCCAATAACCACCGGCTGTTAGCAAAAGTGGTTTCTTGCTGCACCAGTTTGAAAAAGTGCAGGGTTCAAGTCGCAAGAGAGAATTTTTTAGATGAGTGGGCCACAGAGAGTACATAATTTAACGTTCAAGAATCACAGAGTTCCAATAACGAACTATGATGGATCCAATTATATTTTGCAGTTCCAAACTTGTAAACATGAAGTCCTACATACCTCGGCTTCATCCTTGGTCATTCCTTCTTTCCATGCTTGATCAAAGAATCCATACAAGTAACTAGAACCAGATCCTGTTGAATAAAGAATATTATTAGCAGATAGCTGGTGAGTCACAATCACAACAAAGCATTCCAAACAGCTATTAAAGAAAACAGATATACTATTTCAAACATTTTATACTTCTCATTAACAACAGCAACAAAACGGAGTAATCAAAAACTAAAGAGAATTGAGAATTTTTTTAAAAATAAAAAATTAATTCGTGCAAGTTTATGACACTAGCAGAAGATATATAACGAACAATGTGTATTATGTAGACGTGGAAGGTAATTACAATCATATTGACTCAGGATTCTTTTATGTTTTCTTTTTCTTTTTTTTTCTAACTACAATAAAATAGATGAAATAGGGATGGTTCAAGAGTTGAATTGTTGTTAAATTCAATACAATCCAATATGCTAACAACTTCAAGGGAGAAAAAAATATGATCAATCCGTTATCAAGTATGCGTAAATTAAAATTAAAATTAGTTGAACATCAGATTTCAAATATATACATACATATATATATATATAAATCTGTGTGTGTGTGTGGATGTTGACATACTGATAACTTGGTGGATTGGGTTTATTACAACTTGAAATGGTGATTACTATTTACATCCATCATCCATTGTAACAAACATACTAGGATTATGACCAAATCCAGCTAAACAGATCATATTCAGGGGATAATGTAATGATAGGCTTTGCACTCAGGTCGGAAATTTCATGAGTTGTATGTGTAACCTTAGGTAGGAACCTAAACCGCTACCAAGAGGAAGCATATTGACAAACCAAGAAGCCTTGGAGATTCGTTGGATGAGTGCAAGGAAGCTTCACTGTCATAAAGATTCCTTTCAACTAGGCATGAACCAGGAACGAAGAACCACAAACCACAAACACCAACAAAAGGGGGTTGGTCGACCATGCTTCGATATGTTAACAGCCCACGTCAGTTCAACTTGGTTGACCAACATTGGAGGTTGGTCGACCATACTTGGAGTCTAGTCACATGATTGACCAAACCATGTAGGATGGTTGACCAAGGTAAGTACCGAGAGCTAGGTCTACAATAACCCATAGGATTGGTCGTCCAACCTCGTTGATAGTTGACCATCAAGTCACAAAACCAAGTCCAAGAGGCTTGGTCGACTAACCATAGAGAATGACCAACCTATTGGGATTTATTCCACATCCGACCAGTGAGGTAGGTAGTGAACATATGCAAGTAGCCAAACCACTATAAAATTCCTTATGTTCATCTCTTTACTTTTTGTGCACTTAATTTCATATATGTACGTGTCTTTTAGATGAATGTTGTTCAATTCAAGATTTTTTTATTCTTTAAAAGTGATTAAAAATAAACTTCGAATATACGTGAATGGATTGATGTACTCATGTGTTGAATGAATGTTGCCTTAAATGAGTACTAAGATGTCAAATGTGTATCTTGATTGAGGCAACATCTCAAATTATAGAAATGAGCCTAGAAAGAATTTGAGTGGTCGAACCTAAAGTTGAACAAACAAATTCACTTCGAGGATCATGTGTTTCCCACTTCTGCCTTACTCTTGTCTTCTTCCTTTATTTATTAATTTTTTTTGTTTGGTTTAGTTTTTCTTTCCTTCTTTCCCTTAAATTAGGCCAAGGGAAAGGACATCACTAGGGAACCTCAGGGGAAGATGGGCAAAGATCAGTTAGCCTCCCCAGTAACAGACCAAATAAGTTACATTTAAGAAAACAATTTACTAATAGGAACAAAACAAGTCATCTAGCAATAGACAAAGATGATAAAGTAATGTACCATAGCATAGGGTGGAAGGAGAAAAATATATTCATACTCAAGCCAACCAAAAAAAAAAAAAAGTTTTGAAATGTAACCAAACCTCCGATGGCGAAAGGCTGCTCTATTATTGTTCCACCAAGAGGAATCCCATATATTTTGCCTCCTTCGTATTTGTCCCACCCACCAACAATTAAACCAGTTTCCAGCATGCTCTGTGAAATCCAAATGATAGAAATAGATGTAAACATCAACCACCCAAAACCTTAATCCACCTCCTACCATAAGGTTACGCCAATGTGTTGTTAATTAGAAATATGTGGACATGATGAAAATCATAGATAACGTAAGCCATTGGACATGAAGCAAAACACAAATACAATAAATTGTCACGGGAATCACTCTACTACTTCCTAGGGGTAGTCCCTTCGCTACCCTTCCAAAGAAATGGCTTGATTTGCCAAATATTATGCACGGTATTAAAAGATGCTATCTTTTGAACTCAAACCTTGTTATTATATGACAAAAGCCTAACAAGGTTTGCAGCAACTTTGACTGTTGCAGGCTGCCCCAGCTGTATCCTGCACCACAAAAAATATATATATGAGATCAACTCAACCTATGGAAACCACAAAGGGTAAAACTATAATAAACATGGCTCGACCTTGATTAGTAATAGTCTTAAAAGATTTCTACCAAATGAAGCCAAAACAGCATACCATCACACAAACCCATAAATTCTAATGCAAATATCCGGACATGTCAAAATATCAAAAAAAGAACATATGATATGAAGCATGACATACATGATATCCTTATATTTGACACAAAATCAGTGCATGTCAAATTATCAATGAAGCAAGCTATGAACCATGAGCAACACGACAAAACTACTTGAGGAATACTCCCCACACAGAATGGTGAAAAGAACAATGGACAAGGAGACAGTTAACTGGTTGTTGAATTCATTTTTTTATATGAGAAAACAATCCCAAAGAAGCTTATCCATTTCCTTGCACCAAAAAGAAAAAAAATGTTAAATTAGAAAGAGCCAGACTATCCAAACTTGCTTTGCGTCAGAAACACCTCCCTCACCTACATCATGAACCCTAAGCGGCATGGATACAAACACAATTCTCAAACAATTAGAACATAAAACTGCAGGGATAGGACAACAATTATATATATGTTAAATACATCATGAAAATGATAGCCAATGCAATTGATGGTGAGGTATCATTTTGAACCTCCTCCTCATGGCATGGCCTAGGCTGTAAAACATGACACATTTTGAACTTCCTCACTGAAGACTCATGAGAATCAAAGTCTACTTGAATAAAAAACCAATCTCACAAACTGATGCGTCAACCCACTATTATCATCATCCCTGCTTGAGGAATCACTCACTCAAGCTGTAAGACCCCATAGTCATCCAAGGCCTTCAAAACTTCATTTACACGATAAATTTCTTCTTTCCTTAAATGAAGTTCCATCTAAAACCCTGCTGTGACCATCAGCAAAATCTTCTTGTTCCGACAAAAAAGCACACACCAAGAATCAACATTACCTTTCATTTCTTTAATAGTATTAGACAAAGCGACTCCCTAAGTATTTGAACAAAATAATGCTCAACATCAACTTTCGCTTCTTCAATGCAAGAGTAACACATTAAACAGTTATAAAAGTGCTTAGACATTGATAGAATACACGAACCAATAGTTAGAAAATTTAAAAATTACAACAATGATGCTAAAATAAGCAAAAGAAAATCACTCACGTGTGCTGATGAAGAAAGTAACGCACATAATCAGATACAACTTGAGAATCTGCAGCCTGCAAAAGATAGACATGGAAATGACCCATCAATTATTTTGCACAAGTTAAAAACTCTCTTAAAATTTCACAATAAAAGCACATCAAAGTTATTAAAATGAAAAATTTGAAGTACAGGTGTATGAGTAACAGCTACTCACAGTTACCATTGTCTAAATGTTTATGCCTCCAACATATTAAAAGTCTTAACTTAACAAATCAAAGAACATTAAACCATGAGCAAGAATAATTGATAGATCAGGTTAGATCAAAACAGATGATTACATACATATGACCTAGACAAGAACACTTATTTCATTCTTCATAGCATTTCTTGTATGCACATATATACATGCTTACATAGTATTGAATAGTAATAGTAATGTGAAAAATTAAAAATTAGTAGCATGTAAAACCCTTTTTCAATGAGAAAAAAAAAAATTTGCAGGACAACAAACCAAAATTCTATCAAGCAAAAGTGACATGACGAATTACACATATCTCTGCAGTTACTATATGATACATAGACGTCATTTAATCTTTTATTCATAACCCAATACATATCACAAGTAAATGGAACAAAAATTCAATCTTTTACAGAAATTCAATACTACTATCAGCAGAAACACAGAGAATAAAATTAAAAATTGAAGATGAAATACCGATCCAGAGCGGCAGACGTAGACATTATCAGTCAGCTGTGTGATTTTGTCAGACGCTCGATTGGCAACATACATCCCTATCAACAGTAACTAACCTTCTGTTAGATTGAATGGAACAATTTAAGTCCTGAATATGTAAGATTTAATCAAAGAAGTTCCTCACTTTCTCGGAAACCAAACACACGAGGGAAAAAATGAAAGAAAATATAAAAAGGAAAAAGGAAGAGAGTTACCAGTGCTGGTTCGAGAGTCGGCACCGAGGACGACACCTCCATTGTAAGTAACACCGATGATAGTTGTTCCCATGGAGTGAGGAGCATTCAGATCCATACCTTGATCAGCCATCGCAGACAAATTAAAGCAGTTTGAGGGATTCAAGAGAACGAAACGATCCAAAGCCCTAATGATAGCAACACAGAAGCAGTGCAAATGAGGGAATTTTGTTCTATAGAGAGTAAGGTATAGAAAATGCCTATATATATATATATATATATATATTTATCTTTTCGAGTTGAGGCCAGAGTATCCAGACTTTTTGCCCAAGCTAGCCCTGACTTTCACCTTATTTATTTATTTTTTTTATTTTCGTTTTATTGTTAAATTATATTTTTCACCCCCAAATTTTCGTTTTAATTTTATTTTGATTGTTATTTTTAATTATAGATTTTGGTAACTTCAAGTTTTAGTTGAAAAATTAAAAAATACTACAAAAAAAATTAATTATTCTTTCTATTTTATTATGCATCTTTTTGTAAAAAATTAAAAAATCAATTCTTAAAATAATCTTTAGTTACTAGTTATTATTAAAAATTTAGATAAAAAATACTTATGTAAGAGGTTAATATATGACAAAATTGTATAATCAATTTTGTTTTCTAACAATCAACTTTCACTCCATTATGTTTTAATGGGGATTTCTTTTTAAGATTTCTAATATTAAAATTTTATAGCATAAATGACACTCAATATTTTCATAATATCTAAAGTCCCTCAACATTGATCCAGAGAATTTCTCTAGACACATCACAGAAAAAATTCCAAATTTCTCTGAACAAATCACGGAGAAAATTCTAAATTTCTCGGGATAGTGCTCTGCTTCTCTAGATAGTACTCTGCTTTAGACTTTAGATTTTAGACTAATTTTTCCCCTTCTATTTACACAATAATCACAGATACAAATCAAAGAAATTCATAGAGAAATTATGGTTCACAGAGAATTTTTCTAATATAATTTTTTGTGAACTTCACAGAGATATTATCTCCAAACCAGGGAAATTCTCTTCAAATCAGAGAAATTCCTTTGTCTCATTACGTGCAGAGAGAATTATTTTGGAATTAAACCAGAGAAAATTGAAATTTCTCTCAACAAAATTATCAAATTTTGAAACTAGACTTTACAAATACAAAGCAATTCACTGTGCTCTATTTGAAAAACCAGAGAAATTCAATCCAAACTAGAGAAAATTCAATCCAAACTAGAGAAAATTTAGTCCAAACCAAAGAATTTATCTAGTCCAAACTAGAGAAATTCAATCCAAACACATTTCTAGTATGTATTTGATGTTTCACTAAGATCAATATGAATAAAATTTAACCGATCAAGCAATGTTTAAGTGCAACATTTGAGTTGGACTCTTTGCCTCTCATTTTCATTAGGAGGATTGGATGAAGCATACATGTGAAGTTCTTTTTCCAAGCTGACTACAACAGCACACCGAAATGAAATTATGATCCTTGCATATATGAGAGTAAAATATCTTCTGTAAATCTTTTCTTATAGATTAGTTGCCCTGAACAACCTAGAACACTAAGTAAAAATGTGGGAAACAACAGTTAACCTTGAGGGTTACCATTTGCTATGTGTAGACGTCCCCGAACGTCCCATAAGGGAATCCCGTTTTGTTCATTAGGCTCACTACAGTTTGGACTCGATGTCACGGTTTTGAATCTAATCTCGCAAAGTGCAATACAAGATTGATAAATTACCAAAGAGTCCAAGTCTGGAAAATCGTTTTGAAAAACAGATTTTTAGAAAGAAGTGCCAAAAATGGACTGCTTTACTAGATACAGAGTCATCACCTAAATATTTTTATTTTGGGGAAATTTAGAAAACCCTGACTCGTGCCTAAGGCCACGCGTCCGTCATCACCAAAGTTGCCTCGGCTCGGGAACTTGGGTACGATTGGGGAAGGTCAGTTATGAGCACCCCCGCTCGACCGATCAGAAGATCGGCCTGTACTAAGCATGATATCGAGTTTTGAAAACATTATGCGTTCTTATTCCGGTTATTAGCCTAGAATTACTATGTGATACCACAACATACAAGTATAGACTAGATTGCCCAAGTTGGAACAAAGCATTGCATATCCATTTATTTTTTAAACTGGTTTGAAGTTTGCTACTAGCAAGTAGGCTAAAACACGGGTTTCGACGAATTATTCTAATTCAAGCAACCCAACCTTCACCCACAGGCATTCAAGCAGTTATATCACGTAAGCAGATAGCCTCATGGCAAGTATTCTATCATGGCAACACTCACACTCATGCAAGATGCTAAAGCATAAAAAGCTTACCTAGTACTCCGAGCCAAAACAATAAACTAGTTAGGAATCATGCATGATCCTAGTTCATGTTAAGATGGTTAATGCAACACATGCAAAATGCAACTAAAATAGGCTCGGCTATTCTAAGAATGGTATGTGAAATGTGGCAACTCGATACACGAATTCAAGTTGAAATTGAAATACTACGCAATTAGTATGATGCGCTGAGCCCGGTGCGTGCAATACGAATGAATGTATGCAAACATGCTATCATAAGTATGCTAATTGAAACGTGCCCTAAGACTAACCATTGAAAGCAAGTGTAGCACTTGTGCCTTTTAAAGCTTTTGGTAAATGTATTTGAACCCTTTATTCTATTTTGGGAACCCTTGGTGTTGTTGCACTTTAGTTTTGGAGGGGTACAAATTGATTTAAACTTGTTGGGATTGGTTGTTCACACTTATTCTTGTCAAAAGTTCTTTGGAGACTTAGAAATTCCATTCTAGGGTTGACACCAGCCTTCCTAGGGTCGACCCTTACTTGTTGATGAAGTTCTGGAGGTGTTGCTGGAACATAGGGTAGACACCAGTTTGGGGTGGTGTCGACCTTCTTCTGTCTGTGTATTGGTTGCTGGAAGATAGCGTAGACACCAGTTTGGGGTGGTGTCGACCCTTTTCTGTCTGTGTGTTGGTTGCTGGAAGATAGGGTAGACACCAGTCTAGGGTGGTGTCCACACCTGCAGTGCAGTCAAAGCTTTCCCAGATTTTTTTTTCCTCTTTGGTGTCGACACCACTGTTGCAGGGGTCGACACCTGCGACTTTTTCCCAGATTTTTCTCACGGTTTGGACCTACTTTTTGGGGATATTTTGACTAGATATTTTGAGTTGATTTTGGGGCTTATATCTATTTTGACCTAGTACTATATAAAGGCCCTCACTTGACATTTTCTCTCACTTTTTCTTCCATTTCCTCTCTCTAAACCGTGAAACACCTTCTCTCTCTCTCTCAAGGCACTTTCCACTCAAAGATCCTTAGATCTAATTGTTTGAAGACCTCTACTCACCTTGCTCATTTGAGATAAAGTGTAGAGCTTGTCGAGGGCTTTATTTTGATTAGAGCAAAGCTTGGTTTCTCCTCCATCGACTTTTGGGTTTTTCTTCCTTCTTCCCCTTCTAAACTTGAGGTAGGGATTCCTACTCATTTTTATGATCTTTAACCTAAATGTGGAGCTTTTGTATAAATGGTTTAAATTTGGGGAGTTAGGGTTTGTAATGTATTATATTGAAGAAGAGGGGTTTTGTCTTTTTGGCTCATATATATATATATATATATTTGGGGTCTTAAAAAAAGATTATTGTTGTTATTGATAATATTTGGACCTTTGGGTCAATATTGAGTTTAAAGGGAAAAATGTCATATTTGGGTATATTTGGGTCATTAGTGTAATTAATGATATTTGTTATGAAATTGAATTGGGGATAATGAAATTTGATCATTAAGAGATAGAATGATGGAGTTGGATTTATAAATCGCTCACTTTTGAAAATGTCAATTATATATCTGTTGAGGCATTTATTATCTGTTTAGAAATAACTGCTTTGGACTATCGGTGGAGGATAATCTTGATTGTTGTAGACATTGCATGATGATTAGGTAAATTGAAACTAGTCAAGTTGTGTATTTGAATACATGGGTGCCGAATCTCGCGGACGAAATTTCCGTAAAATGGCCATTTGAATATAATTATACATGGGTGCCGAATCCCGCGGACGCAATTTCCGTAAAATGGCAATCCGAATGTATCTATACATGGGTGTCGAGTCCTGCGGATGAAATATCCGTAAAATGGCCATAAGAGAATGAAAATACATGGGTGCCGAATCCCGCGGACGCAATTTTCGTAAAATGGCAAGATGTAGTATTATTGGCATGAGATGTAGTCTTACTTTAGTTATTTGGCCAGGTTCTGAGCCATGTTTATAAGTTGAGTTTTATTAAGTTAAACATTTATCAAGTGCTAATGTTTTAGTTATTGCTCATGTTATGTTTAGCATATCTCTACTGGGCGTTGGCTCACCACCCTATATGGGATATTATTTTCAGGTACAGGTAGTATGTCGCCTCCAAGGCCTTAGCTTGGATGGCAGTGGGAGTCAAAGACTCTTTTTGTTTTATTTTGTTGTATTACATGTATATCAAGCCAAGGGCTTATTTTGTGTAGAGTTAGTACTCTCCTTTTGAAACCAAGTGTTGACTTAAAAAGTTGTAAGCCTATAGGGCATTTACTTTTGTTGTCAACATGTAATACATTTTGTGAAGAATATTCTGATTTATGAAATTATGCTTTATTTTCTTTCGTCTAAGCATGTCAAGAATGTATGATTTTTGGGTTTATTTTGAGGGTGTTACAGCAAGTAAGTAAAAGGGAGAAAGACGTGGGTTGGAAGACATGCATCACACACACGCACGCTTATTACAAAATTCACCCTCTCTCGGAAGGGGTCCGAATAAATAATACAAAACAAATAAATAATTAACTACTCTAGCTAATTAAATATTACAAAACCCTAAATTAATTAACAAATTAGTTACAAAGGGAGGCCGCTGCAGCCCCGCCTCGGAATGCTTGGATGATGTATGCTCGATTCGCTTCGCTCGGAAACCCGTCGCCATGCCACTGTTGCCTCTGTTAGCACTGTTTTGCACCTCTGAGAACTGTGAAAATACTTGTGATGCTTTTGGAACACTCCCATAGCACCATGGGATGTCATCGGCCATAATGCAAGTCCACCGACCACTTTAATACAGTTATTGACCAAAAGTGGAACCACCGGCTAGACTTTGGTAGCCGGCCGGCACTGAAAGTGGCCGACCGGCCATTACTTCCTGCAGAACACTAGTTTTGCTGCAGCAGAGGACAGACAGTGCATGGC